AGAGAGCCAGAGACAGAGAGACAGAGAGAGAGACAGAGAGAGACAGACAGACAGAGACAGAGAGAGAGAGACAGAGACAGAGACAGAGACAGATACAGAGAGACAGAGACAGAGAGACAGAGAGAGAGAGAGAGAGAGAGAGAGAGGGAGAGAGAAAGAGAGAGAAAGAGAGAGAAAGAGAGAGAAAGAGAGAGAGAAATAGAGAGAAACAGAGAGAAACAGAGAGAAACAGAGACAGACAGAAACAGAGACAGAGACAGTCAGAGACAGACAGAGACCAACAGACAAAGTAACAAAAAGACAGAAGTATAACCACATTAAAAATGGAAACGGCGACAACACAAACACACCAACAAACAACTATACCAAAAAATTAAGAACAAGAATCGTCTCCTTCCTCCATACGCGAGAAAACCACTGACCTGATGTAGTGTCCTTGATATTAGGTCATAGGAGGTCACCCCGCGGCCATTTTCCTGCCTTGTCAGAATCTCAGACACTTCCGGATAGAGACTGTTGAGGGACCTGTCAGAAGAAAGAAAAAATAGATTAATGATACGGCTTTTTATCATGATTAATGATGCGGGATTTTTAAATTATCAGTTTTTTTATAATTCTCAAATAAGGATAAGCATTTTTTGAATTGATTAAATAATGATAAGGCTTTTTTAATGGTTAATGATTTGGTTAATGATTTTTTAAAATAATTTATGATACGAAATTTTTAAACAAATGTTGAACTGTAATTTTTCTATTTTATAGTTGCTAAAGATAACTTACATCTCAATTCACATACAATCTAACACAGGAAACATTCAGTTATTCAATATATCAGTATATCGTTTTTTTTCGAAAACAATGAAGAAACCTACTCCACAACAAACGGTTAAATATTATCAGTAATTTCAAATACAAACGCTTACTCATGGTGAAATACTGAGTCACTGTTTAGAAATTATTCTGTAAATATGCTGATAAGATTACTTTCAATGTCATCCATAGCGGAACGAAAGTAATTTACAAAATCATTAACCGTATTCCAAAATTAATAGACGCGTATTTATATTTGAACTTCTTGCCATTAAAACTAAAACGAATTATTGAAACTAATAAAACAAAAATACATGAAAACTTTTTACCACTGAATCTACGAGGTATAATAAAATTAATAAATACCCTTTATATGTGAACTTTCCCAATCGAAATTAAATATACCACCTAACTGATAAACAATTATGGCATTTGAACTTTCTATAAATAATACTTTATAACCGTAAATACGTATCAACTTTGTCAGAAACGAACGAGATACATAAGCTATGCAATGAATATATAATGCGTGTAATATATTAGTTTCAATGATAAAAAATATTTGGTCGTTTGACTTTTTAGAATAGTTTTAGGGACACCATCGAGTTTGAATTTGATGATGGTGACGATGATGATGATGATGACGATGACGATGACAATGGTGATGACGATGACGATGGCGATGGTGATGACGATGGTGATGGTGATGACGATGACGATGACGATGGTGATGACGATGGCGATGGCGATGGCGATGGTGATGACGATGGTGATGGTGATGACGATGACGATGACGATGACGATAGCGATGACGATGACGATGACGATACATAATACCCAACTTTTAGCCCACTAAAAACACGAGGGATGTTTTTTTCCTTCCAAAACCTATTCCTTTATTCCTTGTTTTACCACCATGAATAATAAAAACTTTCAAGCATGATAAATTGCCTGAGAAATTGCCGTGTTGCGCAAATATCCTAACATACGTTATGGAATTCTACATAGAGGTTGAGTCACGGTTGAATTGTGGCGTGGGATTTGCGTAGAGTTTTACATGGCGAAGTCACATCGTATGAAAAAAAAAGTGTACATGCTGATTTTGTTATGAACAGGACTTATTATTGTAGATCATCGGTAAGATCTGACATCAATACCTTTAACTTTATTATATGTAAAATCTATAATTAAAATGAGTTATAAAAAACGAAGTTGATTCACAAAGGCGTTTTCACCCACGATGCATGTTGACTGCATTTTCTTAATCTACTACTTCTAATACCACTAAAACTACAATACTACTATTACAAATACTATCGTTACTATAAAAATGAACAGTATCATTACTACTACTACTACGTTTACTACTACAGCTACTACTACTGCAATTACTAAAACTACAACTACTACAATTGTTCTGCCATAACTAATACTACTACAACAACTACTACTACTATTGCTCTGCTATAATTAATACTACTACAACGACTACAACTACAACTACTACTACCACTACTACTACTTCTACTACTATTACTACTACTGCTACTAATGCAACTACCAAACTACTACTACAATTGTTCTGCCATAACTAATACTACTACAACAACTACAACTACTACAATTGTTCTGCCATAACTAATACTACTACAACAACTACAACTACTACAATTGTTCTGCCATAACTAATACTACTACAACAACTACAACTACTACAATTGTTCTGCCATAACTAATACTACTACAACAACTACAACTACTACAATTGTTCTGCCATAACTAATACTACTACAACAACTACAACTACTACAATTGTTCTGCCATAACTAATACTACTACAACAACTACAACTACTACAATTGTTCTGCCATAACTAATACTACTACAACAACTACAACTACTACAATTGTTCTGCCATAACTAATACTACTACAACAACTACAACTACTACAATTGTTCTGCCATAACTAATACTACTACAACAACTACAACTACTACAATTGTTCTGCCATAACTAATACTACTACAACAACTACAACTACTACAATTGTTCTGCCATAACTAATACTACTACAACAACTACAACTACTACAATTGTTCTGCCATAACTAATACTACTACAACAACTACAACTACTACAATTGTTCTGCCATAACTAATACTACTACGTTTACTACTACAGCTACTACTACTGCAATTACTAAAACTACAACTACTACAATTGTTCTGCCATAACTAATACTACTACAACAACTACAACTACTACAATTGTTCTGCCATAACTAATACTACTACAACAACTACAACTACTACAATTGTTCTGCCATAACTAATACTACTACAACAACTACAACTACTACAATTGTTCTGCCATAACTAATACTACTACAACAACTACAACTACTACAATTGTTCTGCCATAACTAATACTACTACAACAACTACAACTACTACAATTGTTCTGCCATAACTAATACTACTACAACAACTACAACTACTACAATTGTTCTGCCATAACTAATACTACTACAACAACTACAACTACTACAATTGTTCTGCCATAACTAATACTACTACAACAACTACAACTACTACAATTGTTCTGCCATAACTAATACTACTACAACAACTACAACTACTACAATTGTTCTGCCATAACTAATACTACTACAACAACTACAACTACTACAATTGTTCTGCCATAACTAATACTACTACAACAACTACAACTACTACAATTGTTCTGCCATAACTAATACTACTACAACAACTACAACTACTACAATTGTTCTGCCATAACTAATACTACTACAACAACTACAACTACTACAATTGTTCTGCCATAACTAATACTACTACAACAACTACAACTACTACAATTGTTCTGCCATAACTAATACTACTACAACAACTACAACTACTACAATTGTTCTGCCATAACTAATACTACTACAACAACTACAACTACTACAATTGTTCTGCCATAACTAATACTACTACAACAACTACAACTACTACAATTGTTCTGCCATAACTAATACTACTACAACAACTACAACTACTACAATTGTTCTGCCATAACTAATACTACTACAACAACTACAACTACTACAATTGTTCTGCCATAACTAATACTACTACAACAACTACAACTACTACAATTGTTCTGCCATAACTAATACTACTACAACAACTACAACTACTACAATTGTTCTGCCATAACTAATACTACTACAACAACTACAACTACTACAATTGTTCTGCCATAACTAATACTACTACAACAACTACAACTACTACAATTGTTCTGCCATAAGCGAACTGACAATCGTAAAGGACGAACTATATAATGGTTGTTTAATCAATACATGCAAATCAAATAACAAGAGACACACAGCAAATATCTCGATAAATAGATAAGGGACGCAGGCTAACCTACTTTAGATAACTACATTCTGATTATTTCTATATCTAAATACGAAACACACGACGTTGATAATGAGTACGGTCACGATTATGCTGCAAAATGGACGAGAGCATAAGTAAAGATAGTAACCTTCGATAATTATTACGGCAAAAGAGAATATATATAAACTTAATGACCTTAGATTAAAAAAATAATAAAAAATAGGTATCCTCTCTGAATAAACCAAACGCACCTGTGTACAAAGCCTCGTTTTTACCAGTTCAGTAATTCAGATGTTTAATTCAGAGACTCATGTGGGACACGTAACTGCGTCAATATCCTGATTTAGGCAGGAGCATTACCTGACTCCTTTTTCTCTTCGTTCTACATTGGGATTAAGAACAAATGAAAATGAACTTTGTTATGGTGAATCGGTTCATAAGCAATATGTTCACTGTATCTGTGTATGCATGTATATATGTATGTATATGCGTACATAAATACAAGTGTGAGTATCATCATCATCACTGGGGAGCTAACGCCGACGGGGGCGCATAGCCTTCATCCACCTTTCGTTTCCACTTACGAGGGTCCCTCTTGGCGAGCCGCCAGGCTCTTCACGACAAGTCTGCCTAAGCCACGACTTCCTAGGTCGTACCACAGGTCTCCTCTACTCAGTGTTGTCTCGAACAGAGACAACCTGGTGAGCAGGATCATCATGTGGGAAACGAGCCAGGTGGCCGTATAACCTGAGTTGGCGATCGCGCATTGTGTAAGTAATAGG